AAGGCTTTTTTAGACGTCGATGCTGCAAAGGTGGCAAGAAATCAGGGGAAGTTCTCTTATTAACCCCATAAGCTTTAAGGGCACTGTGGTTTATAGCACACTGGTCAGTTTGACAGCTCTAAAAGTTGTCCTGGAAGGTGACAGTTAGTGCCTTAGTTTTTGGTGTACCTGCATGTCTGAAAGGAATGTCTGCGAAGTCCAAAGAAAGTTTGTCAGTCATCACACATCAAAAGTCCCAGATCTGAACATTTCTAAAGATAGCAAAAAGCCAAAGTTTCACAAGATATCTTAAATATACATAAAATCACTATCTTGGTTTTAAATGCATAAAAAAGAGTGTGTGCACCCCTGACAGAAAAAGTGGTCCTGACACACAGAACTTTTTAAATCAGCTTCAAGTCAGGAGACAGATAAAAACAGCCTTACAGGTAGTTAAGGGAAAACAAAACATGAAAACAGTATGTGGGACAGAAAACAACAAAAACTGTTCTAAATTTTGCTCTTTTCCCACAGAGGAGCAAAACCCTTATAAGGAAGTGTACCCTGAGATGTGGGCGGAGCCTGAGGCAGCTTACACACCGCCACCTGCAAAGAAACCACGCAAGAACTCAGCCGAGAAAGCAAAGATCAGAGAGGTGATCGACGAAGGGACCAGAGGTAAACATACAAACACATTGCAGCAGAATTTTGTTTTTCTATTCTTGTTATTTGTCCCTTTAGTTTGTGAGTAAATAAAAAGTACTGGTAACTTTAACCCTCTTAACACCAAAACCCAGCAGTGGGTTTAAAAACAAAGCATCTCATCCCTTTAAAAAAAATCACCAAAACGGAGCCATTTTTCAGAGCCAGAAACTGTCAAAACACAAAGAGTCATTGGATTTTACATGTTCAGATGCCAACTGAATGGCCCCGTCTGTTATCAAAATGATCCAAATGGTCAAAATCTAAGCCAAAAATCGTGATATGTCTCAAAATTTAACAGTTTGTATTCTGTGCTCCTTGCTACAGACATTTTGGGGATGCCATTGTTAAATTAGCCAACATTCACATGACAAAAATCCTGTCAGTTTCTTAACTGGGCTGAACTTGCAGGCTGTGTTTACTCAGAGTAAAGAAACAGATCAAAAATGTAACTGGTCAAATATCTATAGCATGTAGCATTTGTTTTCCCAGTATTTGTTTTTTTCATATTTTTAAAAACAATATTTAAGGGAGTAAATTCAACTTATTTTTTAGTTATGGTGTTATTACTTTGTTATACTGCACAAAATACATTTTGGAGTTTGTGTTCGGTTACCAATGAGGTGCAGGACTTTATATTTCAGTAAAAAAAAAATTAGCCCACGATGAGGAAAAATGTGACAGAAGCCAAAAACACTCAGGGTTCAGAAGGTTGAAATCTACACTACACCCAAAATATGCCAGTAACATAACATCTGCAGAAGAAAACCACTATTATTGTCATTCTTTTGTTTTTATATAAAGTTTATATTGTTTCATATGTGTTTATATGAAGTAAAATGTCTTCTAATGTGTTGTGTTTTCCAGAGCGACTTATTTTTGAGATCAAAAAGAAGACCAGGAATATAGAAGGTAAAAGATTCTGAAGTTGTTGAACCGTCATTATACAGAAGATATATTTAAAATAAAGAAGTGATGTTTTATTCTCATTCTTGTATCTTTATGTCTGAATTTTGGTTCCAAAGTTGACCGAATGGTAAATCTGGTATTTAAGCGATATCGTGATGATTTGCCAAAAAGTGAAAAAAAAGGTTTAGAAAATGTAAGACGTACGCTGTCATTCAAAAATGTATTGTCTCTTCATGATGTAATCATCTCTGATCATTTGTTGTCCCTGAAGCGTTGTTAGTTGAGCAATTTATGGCTCATTTCAAACATTGTTTTCAGTAGCGGTACAGTCAAACCTAACTCTGTTTACCTCTCTCATGTGGAATCCAATTTTTAGTCTTGTTTACATTTTATTCAGTTAGCTGATGTGTTTACTGAACACAGCGAGCGCTATAATTAACTGATGGAGCAAAATGAGCACCTGGACTTCTATAATAGGTTGTAAACTGTAAAGTTAGAGTCTGACACCACAGCACTCGACCAAGATCATAAAACACATTATGGTTGTTTGGGGTAGGGGCTAGTAAAAGTCTTTAAATTCCTAGATAAATGTAATTACAAAGCCAAATAAACTGATAGATGTTGTAGATTTAGCATGTTTGTGTTGTCTGCCTGCGTTTCTTCAGATATCTGCATCTCCTGTGGAAGCCTCAACGTCTCTCTGGAGCATCCTCTCTTTGTAGGAGCAATGTGCCAGGGCTGCAAAGTAAGAAACCCTCTCCTCTCGTCTGACTAAGAGCTTTAAAAAGTAAAGTAAAGGAGGGTGCTTCCAAAAAATACTGCTTTGCATTTATAGTACTCCTAATTTAATTTCATGCAAAGCACAGTTCACCACACTACCTGGTCACAGATATTCCCAACTTCTTGGAGAACGTAATAACAGGTGTTGTTCTTCATGTAATCCTAGACAGACTTTCTGCACAGTTCCCTGCTTTTCGTGTAAATTGAGATAAATACTGAAAACATCAATTTATTTAGTGACACTGAAGTACAGTACAAGATGAGATAACTGAATTCCAGCTACATAAAACAGACTGAAATTTGCACATTTGAGAAACTGGAAATGTTTTGCATGTTTTATGAATTATTGAATCAGTTACTTAGACAAGCAGCTATATCAGCATCCATTTCCCCAAGTAGGCAAATGCTAGCTAACAGCTGTTTTTAAAGCAATGAGGATATTTTTGGAATTTAGGTCAAATATTGGTGAGCTCAGATATTACACATAAATCTGATTGGACAGAAGTAGAAACAAGAGATGTAAATATGGTGGACAACAACAACAACAAAAAACACTCTGTCACTGTGCTTCTCTGTCCTGATTTGCTCCCTGGCAGAACTCGTTCCTGGAGTGCGCCTACCAGTATGACGACGACGGCTACCAGTCCTACTGCACCATCTGCTGTGGAGGCAGGGAAGTGCTCATGTGTGGCAACAACAACTGCTGTAGGTCAGTATGAAGCTGTATACGCTGCTGAGTCTGGGACTGGCAAGCAGCAGCTTCTCTTAGTGGCCAGGAGAAGGTTTTGGATTTCGCAACTGCAGAAACAATTTACCCCATAAATGTCAAATGTGGCTCTCTTTATTGGCCACTGAGTCAACCAGCTTATGTGGAACAGATTTATTTATTTGAATACAGAGTACACAGTTGATCTGGGCTCTAACCTCCTCACTGCAAACACAGCAGAGATCAGGAGTGACGTTAATGAACTTCAGCTCAGAACATAACAATGAGAGGCATGAATCTGAGCACAGTGATCAACCTGATATGTAGCAGCTCAGCTATGGAGCAGAAAATTATTCATTTGACTGTATGTGACTCATCGAAGCCCAGGTTAGGTGTGAAAGCACCCACATGAACTCTGGAGCAGGCTGACGCTGGAAACAAGTCTTACTTTGACCATAGCCTTGTTGGATCACTTACTTTTAAAGACTCTCTATTTGGAGGGTTGTATTTGGTTTTATTGGGTTGAAATTGGGGCTGCATGGTGGTTAGCACCGTCGCCTTGCAGCTAGAAGATCCCCGGTTCGCATCCCGGTTAGGACACCTGGGATCTCTCTGCGTGGAGTTTCCATGTTCTCCCTGTGCAGCATAGGTTCTCTCTGGGTTCTCCGCCTCCCTCCCAAAATCCAAAAACATGTTGAGGTTAATTGGTGATTCTAAATTGTCCGTAGGTGTGAATGTGAGTGTGCTTGGTTGTCTGTCTCTAAGTGTGGCCCTGTGATAGACTGGTGACCTGTCCAGGGTGTCCCCTGCCTTCACCCTAAGTCAGCAGTGTACCGATTCTTCTCGATAACAGACTCACAGGCTTTCAAACCGAAACAATCAATTCTGTCAACCTGCAGAGTGGAACTTTCTGAATCATTATTCCTCATCAATTTGCTGTTCAAGCATGTATGGCTGAATTACTCCAATATTCTAATTTGCCATTGTGCTGTACAGAGTAATTAACAGTGTTTTAGCAGAGTTGTAGGTGAGATGATGCTCAAGATGCAGTAAATGGCATTTTATTGCTCATATATAAAGCCCTTAATGGTGGCTTTATTGTGCTTTTTTTGGCCATGGCTGGTCAAAATGTGTGACCTTCTTTAACAATCAGGGTTAGAAGAGCTCACATTAGCTGACTTGATGTCTGCTTCTAATCCCGTTTGAATATATTTAAAAGTTTTTATAATGCTTAGTGCAGTTTGTGTGTGGTGTAATTATTTGACCTTTTTCGATGCCTTTCTTACTTTGCTAGTTGGTTTGATGTTGTTGAACTTCTAAGTTTATTAAAAACAGGTGCTATATAAATTAAAATATTTTCAAAATAGGTATGCAGGATTATTTTGTAACTTCAAGACTTTCCTTAATAAAATAATAATTTAAAAAAACGTGCCTGTGACATAACTATGCTCCTATAATATAATGTACTACATGCCTTTTGCCCCTTTTCCACTTGTTTATTATATACAAGGTCTGGTCTCAGTTTAAAATAATGCTCATAATCACTTCATATGTTCTTTCTGACAACTTAAGAGGTAAATATAGTCATAATGCTTAATGAAGTGCAGCATGATGGGCTGCTAGAATTTGGATCAGTGTCAGGCTGCTGATGAAGGAAGACATTTTCCAAAATTAGTTACCTGCTGGTCTACATAACTCAATGTTTACAACTCCTGGTTTGTTTTTTAAGAAGTCAGTTTGAACACAAATGAGACCTAAAGGAGAACAACGTGTAATTTCATTGGTCCTAACTGGCAAATTACTAAGTGAAAAAGTTGTCTAGTAAATAAATGCAAGGAAAGCATTAATAAACTGTCGTGTGTGTGTGTGTGTGTGCAGGTGCTTCTGTGTGGAGTGTGTAGATCTGTTGGTAGGAGCCGGCTCAGCAGCGGCGGCCATCAAAGAAGACCCCTGGAACTGCTACATGTGCGGACCGCGCAACACCTACGGGTTACTGCGACGGCGGGACGACTGGCCCTGCAGACTACAGCACTTCTTTGCCAACAACCACGAACAGGAATTTGTAAGTTGAAGAAACACTTATTTAAAATCTAAAATCAGGTCGTGACTTGTGAAGCCCATAGCGGTTTCTGATGGCTGCTGTCAACCATCGTCCTGTTGCAGAAGAAGCCTCTGTCTTGTATCACTGCAGGACATCTGCAACCACAATTTGATGATTCTTCTCTCGAGCCATGCAGTGTTTTTACTGGCACTGGCTGCCTCGCAAAACCCAAATCAGGACATTTTCACATCAATGCTGAGCAGTTAGCAAGATGTTTGTTTCATCAGCTGCTGCTTCATTGGTGATTGGAGGCAAATAGTTTTCCACTTTCTCCAAAATGACTATGGGTTATCCAGATGTTGCTTTACATAATCCAAACACTGACTTTTGTGATGAGGTTGCAGGTTTTCCAGATCTTGAACTAAAGTGCCATTTATTGTTGACATTCCAAACAGTGTAAACTACAAGGTAGAAATACTTTAAATGTCTTTAAATGTCTTCCATAAACTATCTTCATTTCATATGACGAGTCAGTTGCTTAGAGGAGCCTGTGGATGTTTAAAGTAGACTCAGACAATTTACCGTCTTTGAAATTTACAATGATAATTCATAACTTACCTCATAAGTCTTAACAGGTAAATGAAGATGATTTTTTGTTTTGTTTTCACAAGTGGACCTACCTTTAAATTACTGCTTAATTCTTTAAAAATAATATTTTTACATTTATGAAATAAAAAGTATTTACTACTTTTCAGTTATAGAATCAATAAAGTTCCCCTAACTTTGCATACACCCAGTTTATAATGTGCATTTGGTACCTGAGTATTATTTCAATGCACATCCACAGTTATACTGACGAACCGCATTCACACAGAAAAAATATGCTTAAATAGAAATCCTGTAGTGTGGCCCTAGAATAATTAAAACAATGGCAATGTTTAATAAGACTCACTTAACACATTGATGTATTATGACAAAAACAGTACAGAGACAGACGAAACATGTAACAAATGTTTCTCAGCAGGAATTGCTGTGTATCTGGGAACATTAGTGTTATGCGATGTGACTACCAACCCCTCAACCACCAGGATGGCTCATTAAACCTGCTATAAAATGGCAACTTAAAAACATAATATACTTTTATACTATACCCCTGTTTCTTCTTAACAGCAGTCCATAGAGCTCAGTCATTTCAGCTCAGTCCACAGAGCGCACTATAAGACAATGAGATGTAGTAAATTTTATGTCCATATGTTTTTAGCATTTTGCTAACTTTGCCTTTTAGTATTTTAATGTTATCCAAGTTTCCTATTTGCTTCTTCCTTATCTTACATTCTCGATAAGGCCTACATCCTTCAATGTATATAATATAATAACATGATAATATTTCTGCCATTCTACATCTTATCTGCTATCACAGCCTTGCCAAGATTTTGAGAAATACAGTTCAATGGGAAACATTAAAATGTGGGGAAGGCCTTGTCAACTCTTAATTATCCATGGCAGTTATACACTTTAAAAAAGAGCAAGTTCACATTCAATATAACGTTTCCTTAAGCAGTTTTTTCCCCAAAAAACGAGCAGATGATCACTGTAAATAAAACAATGTGTTACGGACACTTTGTTTCTGCTCTATTTACCAACTGTGATTTGTGTTTCCTCTACCTCTTGCCTGTCTTTCAGGAGCCAGCCAAGTTGTATCCTCCAGTTGCAGCAGAGAAGAGGAAACCGATTAGAGTCCTTTCCCTGTTTGATGGCATTGCGACAGGTACGTATGTGTGGCGCCACAGCTAGCCGTTAAAGTTATTATTGATCAGCTGTGATTATCACACAGTGTTAGTCGGTCAATTGGTTGATCCACACACTTGTTGATGTGCTCTGAAATTTGTACAGATTTAGACCTCAGAGGATGAATCCTCAAGACACAGCTGTTTTCATGACTGACATAACTAATAGATGGATCACATAAAACCTAATATACACATTCATTTCTGACTTAGGACCAGTTGTTTTAACTTTGCTGTTCCCGTCACCTTTCATCTAGCAACATCAGCCTGTTTCCAGTACTGTGGTTTCTGACCAAATGCAAAACTAGTGACACTTTGTGTTTAGTGCAAATCATAGATACACACACACACACACACACACCTAGAGATCTCATCCAGTGAGATGCATGTGAGTTCTGGCCAATTCAAATGTTGCAGTGTCAAACATCCAGCAACAGGGAATATCATTTCACATAAGAGATGTATCACAGTAGGCAATTCTTATCTTAAACTGACATGAAACAAATAAAAGTTGGCAGAAAATAAAAGTGACTGTTGATACCACGCTTAGTTACCTGACTATCAAATTTAAATGTTAGATGATCGTGGAAACTATTAAAGGTGGCGTCCTCAGACTGGGGCTGCAAGGTGGAACGGTGATTAGCATTGTTGCCTCGCAGCGAGAAGGTCGCTAGTTCGCGACACTGGGATCTTTCTGTGTGGAGTTTGCCCGTTCTCCCCGTACAGTTCTCTCCGGGTTCTCCGACTTCCCACCCCAAACAGTCCAAAAACATGTTGAGGTTAATTGATGATTCCAAATTGTCCGTAGGTGTGAATGTGAGTGTGCTTGGTTGTCTGTCTCTAAGTGTAGCCCTGTGATAGACTGGTGACCTGTCCAGGGTGTCCCCTGCCTTCACCCTAAGTCAGCTGGGATAGGCTCCAGCCCCCTGGCGACCCTTGTGAGGATTAAGCGGTGTATAGATGGATCTTCAGATTGTTTTGTCAGACCAACTACCCCCCAAAAAACCCAAAAAACATCCAGTTTACAAGGACATAAACTGAGAAATGTAAAGAGGCTGGAACCAGAGTATGTTTTGTGTTTTTGTTGGATGACTTGAACGATAGATCCCTCATCAAAATGACAGATATGACATTTCTTGTTGATGTTTTAACTCTTTATACTTTCTGTGTCCGAACAAGCTGGTTTGCTTTCAGTCCTTTAAACGACCCTTTTTCCTTCTTGTTTTCCCTCAGGTAGTTTTAAGTTTGTTCAAATTTTTTTTCTCACTATAAGAAAGCATTTCAGGAACATTTCAATACCAGACTGAAAGACTACGTCAACATTGATGATTATGCAGTGAACTCTCCCATAGAAGTACTAACAAAACAATTTGTGTGTGTGTGTTTTCTGTTCAGGTCTGCTGGTGCTGAAAGATCTGGGCATCCAGGTCGACAAGTATGTTGCGTCTGAAGTGTGTGAAGACTCCATCACTGTGGGTATGGTTCGACACCACGGACGCATCATGTACGTGGGAGATGTACGCAACGTAACTCGCAAACATGTAAGTGGAATGCTCTTGTCTTTGCTTCGACAATTCATAGATAATCATCTGTAAGATATGATGACATTCACACCTCTGTTTGTATTCTGTATTTGCAGCAGGTTTTTTTTTTTTTTTTATAACGCACAATTTGCATTATGTCTATTCCTGCTTACTTATAAAGAAGAAGACTGAACTTACAAACTTGTGTTTTGACTGTCAGATCGAAGAGTGGGGACCATTTGACCTGGTGATAGGAGGAAGCCCCTGTAATGACCTCTCTATAGTCAACCCTGCAAGAAAAGGCCTTTACGGTAAGACGTCACTGAAGGGTGACACAGGTTTTTTCGTTATAAAATAAGCTTGACAAATAGAACAGCTTGATTCTCATGTGAAATGGAGGCTGAACTTTCCTTGTCCTCCCACAGAGGGAACCGGTCGGTTGTTTTTTGAGTTTTACCGTCTGCTGCACGAGGCTCGGCCAAAACCGGGTGATGAGCGGCCGTTCTTCTGGCTCTTTGAAAACGTGGTCGCGATGGGAGTCAGCGACAAACGGGACATCTCCCGCTTTTTAGAGGTAAAACAAACAAGCTCACGAACACTGTTCACACTGCAATGTAAACACATGCAGAGACATGCAAACAAACAGAAAATTTGGTTTATGTCAACCTGTTGTATTTTCCTTTTGTGGCTCTTGTCTCGCATAACCAGATCTCCACAGTGCTATGTCAGCACTGGAGAATGATCTGGCTGTGCTTCAACATCCTTCTGCTGTAAGGAGAAAAAGTGATCACAATTGTCTCGGTGCGGTTCCAAGCCGAGGCTGCAGCAACAGTATCCCTGTAAATTAGTGACAGGAGAATTGCACGCAGAAAGATTAGCTGACAACTGACAATAAAACCACTAATAAGCCAGAAAACCAAGCAGGGCTGCGTGATCCAGATGCAGAAAAACACTTTTCAGCTTGTAGGTTGCTGCTTGTAGGTTGTTGTTGTTTCCAAAGGGGATTTTGAAAATGATAACACACAGATAGTGGGAGGGGAGCAGAAAGCAAAGTGTGGTGAACTGTGGAAATGGTCTACATGTAGTGAGTCAGACCAGAGTCATGCAAACGTCACTCTCTCCACCTCCATCGTAGTGATTTGTTGGGAGGCGAGGAGTTACATAAACTAGAATATATCAAGGCTAAGAGCACAAGGTCCCTGCAGCTTTAAAAAAAAAAAAAAAAAGAACAGATTTTTATATGAATCATCTTAAATGTTTGGCCATTTTATTAACTACAGCCTGAAAACATTTTAATAAGGAGCTGCCCACAACCTCACACACAAGTTCTCCTGCATAGAGCTGATGCAGCTGGCAAAATATCCTGATTTTCTCTATTGTAATTTATGTATTTTGGACTTTTCTGTGCACATGACATTGGTTTCCAATCTGAAAAAAAGAACTCCTGTGTCAACTCCATTTTTTCCCTGTCTAAGTTTTTTGTTTTTGATTCATCCAAAAGAAGTTTATAGATAGAGAGCGTTATATGTGGTGCAGATTGTAAAGCGCCTTGAGTCAAATTTGTGATTTGTACTAGTGGGCTACATAAATTAAAGTGAAATGGACTTTACAATTTCAAACAAATCTTTAGTTTATGTTTAAAGTTTTCAACCATCTGTGGCAAAAAAAAACTCTCAATGACAAATAAGCGATGACAAAAAGGCATTTTTAGCTAATGAAAGAAGAAAACCTAAAATATAATGGACAACTCATCAGGGCCACAGTCCAGCATGATCATTAACAGAGGATGTTCCCCTTAAGTAGAACATGAAGTAACCCTACTGCTTCCTCTTAAGTGTAATCCAGTGATGATTGACGCCAAGGAGGTCTCTGCTGCCCACCGCGCTCGCTATTTCTGGGGAAACCTGCCGGGCATGTCAAGGTGATACACACACACACACTAATACGAGGCTGGAATTAGTTTACTTCCTGTTGATGAATCTAAAAATACAGCTTTTATTGACAGTTATGCTTTTCTTTCTGCACCTTTTTGTTTGCTGCAGACCTCTGACACCGATGGCGAATGACAAGCTGGACCTACAAGAGTGCCTCGAGCACGGCCGCACAGCCAAGGTATCCACATGCGTTTGTGTGAGTGTGTGCGCATGTTTGTCTGTGTGTATGAGTGAGTGCATTTGTATATTTATATGGTATGTAACTCTTTTACTAGTTGAACACAAAAAGGAGTTTTTGCACAAGTCTGGAAACTAAAGGCAAATGTTAAAGGTATTTTAGTTCTATGTGATGGATAGAAAACCAAGGACAAAGAGTTTTTTGTGTCAAAATTGGGTCAATACTGTTGGAAATCTCTAAAGTGGTGTAGATACGATGTATAACAGAGGCATTTTTTTTTGCCGTGGACAACTTTTGCAAAAATGTTCACATCAATAATGTCAATTTTTTCTGCATTATAGTGCTGCCACTGTAGGATTTTTCCTTTACCAGCAAGAGAAAGTGTCAGTCGGTTCTTTAAAAAGTAATCTTTTGATAACCATCACTTGAGTGTGTATGATAGAAAGTTACTGTACAAAAAGAGAATCGATTTAGGATTAAAAAAGGATGTATGTGTTTGTTTGTATCTGTCTGTGGTTGTGTGTGTTCTGGATGATAATTCCAGTTTGAGAAGTTGCGTACGATAACGACACGCTCCAACTCTGTGAAGCAGGGGAAAGATGAGCATTTCCCCGTCTACATGGACAACAAGGAGGACATCCTCTGGTGTACCGAGATGGAAAGGTACAGTGGTGGTTCTGTGTTTGTTAAGTGTCTCTACTTGTTGTGATTTGAAAAAGTAATGAATAATAATCCCGGCTGTCCTGCACATCAACATCTGTTTGTCTGGATTTCATTTGCATGTCTAATCTACTTCTGTTAGAGTGGCATTGTAATATAAATAACTTAATATAGCTGAAGTGATTAGGGGACAATTTGTTCATTTTATTTCTCTTTGCTGTTTCTGTTTTTCCAAACCCTTCCTTTATACTTTAGTTGATTTGATAATTCCTAACACAAACATACAGATATTAGGTCCTCATCTTTCAAAATTTCTAGTTATAAACTCTTCACAGTTTACAGATCGTCCACTTGCACCCTTTTCAGACATCGGATGTGTAACACTGCTGCTTCATCATTCTGTTGAAGTGATGGCATTCTGTCATTCACTCAGGATTCAACCTGAGAACAGCTGCTTTGTAACAAATGATTTAGCTGCAGCTGATAAACTGTGAGCCTGTGTGACAGCTCACCTGTCTGAAGAAACATACACAGTGTGACTTTTTGTTTGATCCTAATCAGTGCTGTCTCTGTGTCTGATATACACTGTTGCCCAAAAAGTTGGTATAAAATTATTATTTTTTGCCTCTTCTCATGGAATGATTGACAATGTGATTTATTCTTGATAGATAAAGTGTATATTTTCTCAAAACTTTATTGATATCACAATACAGGTACAATACATATCCACAATTAACTTTTACAAACTGTGTATTCGGGCTTAAACTAAATTAGGGAGTATTGAACAATAGAATTAAGGGTGTTGTTTTAGTTTTTCAACCTTGGTCATATAACAGGAAACACATATTCGATGGGATTTTATGCATTAGAATGTCCAATATTACTCTTTCAAATGTCCCTCAGTCACTAATATTGAGCATGGCCATCCCTGACACAGATCAGTGCGTTAAGACATGGTGGCATACTGTCCACCAGCTTGTTGATGGTGTCACTGGGCAGGACGTCCCACTCTTCAGTCCGATCCTGAAGTCAGAATTGGTTTCACCTGGTAACTGGGACTCAGTATGTCATCATTGCACCTGGTCAGAAGGGATTACTGATGTGTATAAATAGAAATAAAAAGAGGAATGTGTCTGAAAACAAAAATTATTCCAACTTTATAGGCGATAGTGTATTTTACACTTACATGCTTTTAAATGAATTATAATGTTACCGCTGCTGTGCCATGCATAAAGGTGCACGGCTCCCTTTTTTTTGGAGATGCTCATAAGTGTCTTTCCATTTCTTTATTCTGCAGGTGTTTAAAACAAAACAAAAAAGAAGAAGTCCAGCTCAACCAGATAGTTTAATAGCTTTTTTCCTTCTTTTTTTTTTCTCCAAAATATGACACATAATGATGACTTCTTCAAATTACATCCTCAAATTGGAGTTCTGTTTACCGTGATAGATCCAAATCAGAATACAGGAAATGCTCATGTTTGGAAAACCAGAATCAAGCTAAGTTTTTAAGTCATTTTGCTGAAACAACCTAATCAATTAATCATTTAATAAAGAAGTTACTGAACTTTATCTTAATAACCTATTGATTTTATAACTGTTTTGGCAATTCTTCACACATCATTTATACAATCCAAGTTCTGAAATAATGAAATGTCTGGTGTTTTTCAGGGTGTTTGGTTTCCCCGTCCACTATACCGACGTGTCCAACATGAGTCGTCTGGCCAGGCAAAGGCTGCTGGGACGTTCATGGAGTGTCCCCGTCATCAGGCACCTCTTCGCCCCGCTCAAGGAATACTTCGCCTGCTACTAGTCACACGCCAACTCTCTCTCTCTCACACACACACACAGACAGACACACACACTGATAACTTCAAACAGTATACAGCTTGTACATGAAGGTTGGCTGATGCAGGATGACACAGATGACCGGACGTGCATACATAAACCCACACACATACATCCACACACAGTGTAAAGGACTCTGCTTCCCTAGATTCCATGTAGTCCACTGGCTGATCTTAGTCCCCTGGTGCTACCTTGCTGACCTACACACACACAGACACACGAACGCGCAGGTGCAGGGTTTCTGTACTGTAAATCTTCATACACAAACTTCCTGTCCGACCTTGAAACTGATGTCTTCTGGCTTTACTGTGTCGTATCAGCTGGAGTTCAAACCTCCAGGGGGCGCCAAACTAACAAAGCTGCCCTGATTTTTTTTTTTTTGGTTTTTAATATATCTCTGAATACATCAACACACCAACAAATCCCTCTGTACCGTAACACTTAACTGTATTCATATGTAACGACAGTGCTGCTGGTGTAGTACAGTGCAATGAACACGAATATATATACAAAGACACATACACACACCAGTTAACGCTCGTGGTGCTGGTCAGGCAGTGATTGAGTCCAAATGGTGCCACTTTAATACAACACTTTTACAGTTTTTTGGTGCTCTTGAAGACTGAATGGTCTCTGGTTGTTTCAGTCGCTGCAGTTTTGGGTCCCTAACCGAGGTAAACCAGACAAATACAAGCGGGTGGAGGCAAAAACCAGCAAAGAGAGGTGGCCATGAATTTTTAAGATCTATTCAGTGTGCTTGAGTGTGCAGGGGATTTTCAAAAAGTAAAATAAAAAAAAAAAACTAGGGTAACAGTGCTCAGATAGATCAACACGAGGCCTTTTAATGCAACTAAATCAGATTGTAAAATTTTGTGTTTTATGAAGGTTGAGCTGCTCTGGTGGTACAAACTGTCTTACCAGTTGGGTTTACACCTCAGTGGGCCAAGATCAAGTCACCGCAAAAAGGTGTACATCTTTACCTAGTGTTGTTAGTAATGCACACAGTATGAAATAACAGAGTGCATTTTACAGGATGCCACTGCAGCTTGAGGTTAAGTGGATGGAAAAACAAAGCTGATCATGTACAACAGGCAAAATCAAAGCAAAAAAGTACACAAAATAACATAATAGATCCTAAATGTGGAAAAAAAAATAAAAGTAATGAAATATAAAATTTAGTTTGAAACAGTGCAAAATGTTTTTAAAAACTTTTAAGAGAAGCAACATCCTCACTGCTGTGTACATAATGAGTGTTTAGATTGCCCTCCAGTGGACAGAGGAACTTGTGTGCATGACACCCTCTTGTTGGGATAAAACACAGAGTCAGTGTTAGAGGTCACTGCGTTGGAAAAATTGTGAACATAATGGAGACAGACTGAAGACTGCTTTTACACTAAGCCATTCACAGGTCATTGTTATATACAGAGTGCACATATTAAAAATATAAGCTACTGCTGCCTGTATCCTTGTTGACAGGACCAACATCTACGATTATGTTTCAGTACAGCAAGCAGGAAAATCTTCATACTGTTATTTGTGTGTGGTTTCTGCAATATTAAAGGCAATCAGGTCTGATTAATGCTGTGGCCACTGTGCTGTGAAAAAAAGTGTGGACCAGCAGCCTTTTAATATTGACCAGTATTTACTGGTAGAAAAATTGGGATGTTGCTCAAATGACTGTGATGTTTATCTTAAATTAGAATAATACTGTATTTCTCCTTAGTAATTGTGTCACTTTTCCTGGCAGAGGCCAATGTGAGGCCACAGTCCTCAGCGTTGCGATGGAGGTTGGATGTTACTACTGAATTCTGCAAAATAAATAAAAATAAGTCAAATGAGCACCCGTTGGTAGGGTAGATGTCATAATACTATACCAAACTTTGAATCTTCAAAGTTATCAGTGAAAAAGGATGCTTTTTAAACCCTGCAGTGCTCATTATGTTGATGAACTGGAGGAAAGGTTCAAACTACCAACAAAACAGTTACAATATACTGTGATGATATAGCGTAGTCCATCTGTGTAGCTTGATTAACATTGACCTTGTTCAGTCAAGTTTTTCCCATTGTGAGGGTGGCACTGGTTATTCCAAAACTAGAACTTATGACTTTGGTGAATGTGTGGGCTTGTCATTCATTTAAGATCTTTTTTTTTTTAGAAATCTTTTGCTCCAACCGTTGAGGTTTAGCAGAAGACTGTATATAAATGATGGAGAAGCTTCCAAGTGACTTAAACCTTGTAATAGCCAGCAGGGGGCGACTCCTCTGGTCAGTAAGAAAAGGACTAAAACCAGAGGCTTCAAAACAGTAGTCCACAAACCAGTACGTGACTACATCCATCTTTTACGTATAGTCTATGGACTTAACTCATCTGGCAAGATTATTTCTGCCTCCAGAGCAGCGCTGCCTCTGAGAAACTAAAACACCAGTTTCATAAACTCAGTGTCGTCCTCGCAGCAACATTTAATGTACCCTCTTGCAATGCAGCTTTTCTTGTGCCTCAGCTTCAGTGGTACCTTTTTTTTGTCTGGTGAAACAGTAAAAGCCCTCCAGCAGTCATGCTCCCACCATGCTTATTAGGGATCTAAAATGTCCTCCAGTTATTGAGCTGCAGCGACATCCGCCGACACCAGAGGTAGACCTTTATTCTTTAGACACTATGCTGGTTTTCTACTTCCTACGACTGAAACAGATAGCCCTGTATAAATACCAGACACTTCTTAAGATATCACGGATACAGCTGTACCCCCTGTTTTGGGTGTTTCTCGTACCTTTTGCCCAGTGCATTATGGGATAAACTCAGTTGCTCCATGACTATTAGTCAGAATAATCAGGAAGAAAATGGCGCCATCAAGTGTAGTTGCTTTGTTTCTATTAAGATTCTAACACATGCAGACACTATGAGAAACGTCTGTGTACCAATGGACGTTTATTTAGACAGGGCTGTCTTTGGAGAAAACATTTCAGTCTGGTGCTTTTGGTCATTAGACGACCATCTTTTCCAGGAAGCCTTCCGATCCTCTGACCTTCCTCAGATACCAGCTAACAACTGGACACATGCAGTCAATATGGACACAATCTGTCTCTCTCTCACACACAAACACACACACACACACACACACTGTACATGCACAAACAGTCTTTCAAACCAACAGTTAAACCAGCAGGTTCAAAGTTTTTTTTTTTCATCATGTTTACTCTCCGTTTGTACAACCAACCTTCAGGTGCTTTTTAACTCAGCTCTTTTTTACAGTGCTCTTGCAGATGGCTCAGACACACATACACGTACATCTGCTGGAAACAAGGTGCCGACTTTTATGCTTCTCGTAATTCTTTCGCTACCAAACATGTCATCAGCACACACGCATACATGCACACACACTGTGTTCTTGCCGGCTGCCTGTTGCCATCAGGCTTCCCACGGCGCTGCTGGGTGGGACATCATCACCCTCGCGTCGCTTGGTGCTCCCAAACCCCCAAACTCCCACCGTCCTCCCCAGCTGAATCCCTTCCAACATCCCCACCCCACCCCCAGGTGCTGCATGTCAGTCAGTCAGTGTAATCTCCGATTCCATGTTAGATTAGGGAGTAATGATAATAATAATAATGGTAATAATAATTACAATAATAATCTGTTATTGTGTGTGTGTACTGTTCCAGGTTGGTGCTCAGTTCAGTTCAGTCTCAGCCTAGAGGGGAGAGAGAGAGGCTAGAGAAAGCATATATTACAGTTAGTATAGTGACTTGTTCTATTGTACCCAAGAATGCCAGAAGAAATTGTTGAACCGATGAGCTGTACAGCGCTCTCACACCAGAGATGGGTTGAAATAACACTGACTGTACTGTTGGAGTTGCTGAAGCAAAATCCCCAAATTTATACTGCTGAACCAATATGTCTGTCTCTCAGTCATCCGGTCATGGTAATCCTAGGAGCTTCAGTAGAAATCAACTGGACTTCTCTTTGAGGTTCTTGAACCAAATGACTGTGGTGGTTCACGCCTCATAAAGGGTCTTAAGCTTAAATCTTGTTGGTCCGAAAGTCATTTAAAAAACAAAAATGACAGAAAGAAAGAACAAAAAAATGCTAAACAACATCTACTTTATACACTGGACAAAAATATAAATGCAGCTTTTTTTTGGTCTTTTTGAAATTTTGAGCTGTTTAAGTGGTGACAAGTTCTCGACTGCTGATTTAATCCTAAACCGAGTTTCTGTGGCTTTAAAAGATAATGACCAGATAGAGTGACCAATCCATAGACACTCATTTAACCAGTGACTATAAAAGGCCACCTTTAAATGCAGCTTTATTCTGTCAGACAGACGGGAACGAGCTGCTGGCATGTCAGTCAGGGCCGTGACCTGAATGTCCACGACTCCACCATTTGTTGTCTGAGAAATCGTTTCCCTCACAATGTCCACCAACCTTACCGAGCCCTTCAGTAGGAGTGAGAAAACATTCCACGATCAACGACCTTATTCATTTTATGTGTCACAGATGTGTGGCACTATGTGAAGCAAATGGTGGACATGCTTGTGATTTCTGGTCTCTGGCTCCACTCTTCATCTGGTCATTATCATTTCCAAAATAATCGTACATGGTTCTTTCATGACATCCGTTCTGTGGTCGAGGTGCTCGTATTACCTGCTACTTTTATATTTTTGTTTAGTATATGTTTAGATTTTTTTTAAGTGGCAATATCAGTCTGTAGGTTCATCCCCCTACTTTAATCCTCACTGAAATATCTCAACAACTACTGGATCACCATGAAATTATGTCCAGATATCCATCGTTCTGCGAGACTGAATCTTAATGACTTTTCTTCCATCACCACGATGAAGCTCATATATCTTGAAAACTATTAAAGGGAGTTGACAAAAGTTTTGGTACAAATATACATGTTCAACCTGTCTAATAATCTGATTTATGACTACTTACTTGTGAAACATTCCCATCATCCTCAGCTGTTCTTTGAGGTTATTGCTAATTAGCTAATTTTAGTAAACTAACACACTACAATAAAATGTGAAACATGGTAAGAATAGTACCTACTAAACTTAGCATTTTACCGTAGTCATTGTGAGCATGTTGGAATGCTGAATACAGAGTGAAATATTTAATAGTTTTATCCCTGGAAAATCGCCTGAAAATGAATGTACAATGTAATGTTGAACAAAGAAAATCAAAAGAAATGATTGGTTAACTAAAAAAATGCTATAGACAAGCAAATATAGATTGTAAATTAAAGAGTTGTGGTTCAGCGCAGCAGTTTTCAGCTGTTCAGTGTTATTCCAACACTTATCTGCCTGAGAGCGCAGTACGACAAAAGCACGAGGAAAAGAACTGATATTTTTAAATGGTGGGTGACACGGTGATGATGTTTCTGTTCGCCTATCGACAGCTTTTAGGCTGAGTGATGCGCTGTTTTAAACACTGATACACTTTCAAACCAACACACACAGAACACTGTTATCAACACACAGAGCGAACGACGCTCAGAGACACATGCACAACACCTACAAATACAATGCTGTGGCGCATGCAGACACTCATCTCATGGACTAAATGAAAGATGAGCTTTTAGGAAAAGGAGGACCTGGTGGTGTTTCAAAAGGTGCTAAAATTTTATCTGAAAATAAGAAAAATATATTGTTAGGAGTATAAATCAAGTTTGTCTTTACAATGACTGTATTTAAGTTTGTCGTAGTAATGAAAAGGCACTATTATTATTTTACTCTTGTATGAATATGAACTAATTAAAAAGGCATTTTAACTTTGTACTTGAACAATGTAAGAAATGAACCGTGAATAAAAAAAAGGACTGTTTCTTGTGATTTAGCCTAAAGGCTCTGTGTTGTCTACCTGTACGTCAGATGTGTGCGTCACTTCAAAAAAATCAAGTCAAAGTCCATTTTTGTTTCTTTATAACAGCTTATTTAACTGTTTTTCAGTCTCTGTTTAAGCTTAGAAAAGCTTTCTGGCATTAGATCAACATTTTTCTCGTCACTGAATAATTCAAACTCTTGAGGTTTGGAGTTTGAAGACTCTACCAAAGTCATCATTGATTGATGAGTCAAAATTGCTGCATCCCTAATGTTAGTGTATGTCTGTGCGCTTTAACATTATGGTCCATACGATTCTATATTTTTGTTTTATTTTACTATTTACTGCAGAGTTTCCTGTGTGTTGAAGAAAGGGGACTGGAATATGTTAAGAAATTCCTCGTTTTTTATGCAGTACTGATGGACAGTCATGTCTATAAGTATCTCAATACTGTTGGAAATTGTTAAGGTCCTACTAGATTGCCAAAACCATGAGCATATTTTTCTGTTTTGGAGTTTTCAGAATTTATATAAGCAGGAAAGTCCAAAGTCGCAAGGCTCCAATTCTCCCAAACCAGACCCCTAAACAGCCATGTAAGTGCACTGCAAATACAGCTGCAGGCTACACACACATTTCATTTAGCTACCAGGATGCTGAAAACCTAAAATGTCCTGAAGCTTAGTGATGCCTTCCAACCATATGGATTAAGTTATGGCATACTGTGGTCAGTACTAGTGATGCCTAGTTCCAAATTTGTCTTGTAATTTAATGTTTAGAAAAAAAAGTGAAATAAATACCTTTGGTGGTAACTCTGAAAGTCACATCAGCTACTTATTATGACAACTAGCAGTTCAAGGTAGTTGGATAGTTTGCAGATTTTTTCTTATGAGAATTTAAATCAGGTTCTTATCACCAAGTTGATAATTCAGTCATTCACTACGTATATATACACACATGTCCATGAGTGAGGCCAGCCTAGCACTAATTGGTAGTCTTGTAGTCCTCCTATTAATTACTTCTGCTGAATTCCCATCACAGCAGCAGTCAGCCAAGCTGCCAAAGAGGACTCCCCCGTCCCCACACTGTGGCCCTTCATGCCCCATGATGTCGCCTTCAAGTGCTCATTGTAAGCTCTCGTCACTAGAAGTGCGGCATTCAAGTGCCCTGGATCGGAAATAACACCAAACTGGACTCTAGGACTAATAGGATTTATATATTTTTACTATTTAGAATGCCATCTTCAAATAGTACAGATGCTACAGCAGAACAAAGCAGATCAAATGGTGCTGATTTCCAGCTGGCATGTTGTATAGTTGTGTGGTTTGCAGATTTTTATTTTTTTTTCTTATGAGAATTTAGATCAGGTTCAGACAGAAATCCAAGAATCCCCATACGCTGTAAAGTTAAGTCACATAATATGATAATTTAAAATATGGTATGACTTTCCTGATTGTCAAGAGGGACAGCTGGAGGGTTAAAAGGTAATTACAAATCTACCCAAAGAAAAACAACCCTCCCAAAAAAACAAAGTTGACATTTATACACCAGTTTATGTCAATTATTTCACGTAAAATTTCCTGTATAAGTTATGCATAGTCTGGTATCCACATTAAATATACGGCTTTAGGCCATGAACTTAATGAATGTATTCAAAAACTACTACTAAGGATTGTTGAAAAAGTGTTCATTTAAAAGCTAAAATAAGCTACATTGCTGTACTAATAATGCAAAGAAAAACAAATACAGGTTTAATTTACAATGGCTTGGGTACACAATTTCCATTTTATTCTTTTGTACTTTCATAGATTATTATTAGTCGTTGAACACATACACATTTATATCGCCTCATCAGGTACCAACCCCCGTATGTCCGACAGCATCTAAAGGCAACATGTCTCCGGAGGCAGCAGACACGCCCCTGTCTTCAGAGCAGAGCGGACCCGTCTACTGACACATTTGCTCTCCTATTGGTCGGCATCTCCGTTGCTCTGGTCCGAGCGGCTCCTGATTGGCTGATGCCGGACCGACGGCGTAGACGAAGCATCTGCGGCTTGCGCTGTGCCAGCTGTCCTCGCGCACTCGGCTAGTGCTGGGCAACGAAGAGAAGCTCCTGCGGAGGAGGACCAGGGAACCTGCGAAGAAAGGGTAAGGAGCCAGAAAAAATGACGGAAATCAAGTTGTCAGCGTTTATTTCCCCACAAACTGACATTTGTTGACAAATATAGGTGGAATTTATCACCAGTGAGCTTCTTTAGGATTTAAATGTATGCATTAAATGTCGATAAAAAAAACCGCCACGGCTCTAATGCGCGTTATTTTTCCGATTGCTACAGTATATTAGCTAAATATCAGACATTGACGTTGTTAATTATAAAATTTTACCTGCCCAATTAGGTGTTTCTTCGTTCGTGTTTGAATGGGAATGAATGAAGCCTATTCTTTTTTCAGTGAGGGGAAAAATAATGAATTACTCATAAAGCCGGTGAAATATTGAAGACTGGCAGTGTGCGTTTTGAAATAGCATTGTGTGCGACGAAATATGGGTGAGATGCGAGTGTGTGTGTGTGTGTGTGTGTGTGTGTTTAGTTAGCGTGCCATCAGTGCAATAAGACAGTGTGCTGTGTATGAGTGTGTGTTGCCCGTTATGTAAGTCCGTTATTCGTTTATAGGTTATTCTCTGTTCAGCCAAATATATTGAGTCACAGTGATGATGAAGTGTACGGTCTGCAATCATCATGCATGCAGACCAGCCCGTTGTGTGTGTGTGTGTGTGTGTGTGTGTGTGTGTGTGTGTGTGTGTGTGTAGGTGTGTGTAGTCCATCGTCGTATTAGTGTAGCTGGGAACAAAATGTGAACAGGTGATTTTGAATCGCGGTTTTCATTCTTGTCCTTTGCTTCGAACGCAGACCTGCTCTGGTTTTTGCTGATCAGGATCTTAAGGCCTTCACATCATTTAATTTCTCCAGTTGTGCTTTAGGGAGCCTTTGACGTGCAGCACAGTGAATTGAATGCATTAGAAGGGATCCAAATTAGATGATGTAATCGTTGGCCTACACATGGTATCTACCATTAAGGATGCATCTATTCTGTTATTATCATAAATACGTCTTTTGTATTATCTGTTTGTAAAATGTTAAAACAATTACAACTTATTACATCACTATACAGTTGCTGGGTGGTGCAGTGGTTTGTATTACAGCAGATTTCTGGTCGTTTAATGTGGAGTTTTCCCTGTGTTTGCACCAGGGATGCACCAATTTATGACTCTAAATGACTTTTGGTAAGAATGTGTGTCTGTCTATAATGTACAGTGGTAGTCTAGCAACCTGTTCAGGGTGTACCCATAGGCTGTATTCTAAAAAAAAAAATGGAGGTAGTCTCTGGGTCTGAACCTAAAGCCAACGTGGAATGCATTCTTTCTAAAAGCCAGCAGGGGATGACTCCTCCAGTTGCAAAAAAATGTTTTATGATATAGAAGTCCATGAGAAAAAATCCTACTTCTCCCTTGATCTCTTACCTCAATAAACAATTCTGCTGAGTTGTTTATGGACTCAATCAATAGTTTGATGACGTTGCGATCACAACATGATTTTCATTTTTTAAAAATTTGTGATTAACAGGTTACTACCATATCACTGTATGTAGTGTCCTTGGATTCTGTAGTCGGATCCACCCCTCATTACATCATCAAAAGATCACCATGGCAACAGCCAAACCTGAGGCTTTAAAATAGAAGTCCACAAAATAACATCACGGTCGCTACATGAAGCGCTAAATTTTCAGTCAAGATAATCTCATTCCATTTTCAGCAATTCATTTCATGCCTATGAAATAGTTAGAGCAGGTAACTGTTTTAGCAAATATTTAAATTCTATTACTCCAAATACTTATTTCAAATCATACAGGTATTTAAATAGTTCTGCTAGTTTAGCAATTATTTATTATTTTCATGATGGATCTGTCAATCAGCCATTTATTTCCTTGGTTCATGAAATGTATAGAAAATTTTCTGACAAATTAATTTGTTCATGTATCATTTCGGTTCTAATTTAAAGGAGAAAACTCTTTTGTCATATTTGGGTATGGATGCATTACATGAGGGCTGCAAGGTCGTGCAGTTGGTTAGCATTGTTGCCTCGCAGCAAGAAGGTTGCCGGTTCGCGTCCCGATGGGGGCACCAGGATCTTTCTGCGTGGAGTTTGCATGTTCTCTCCGTGGTTCTCCAGGTCCAAAAACATGTTGAGGTTAATTGGTGATTCTAAATTGTCCGTAGGTGTGAATGTGAGTGTTCTTGGTTGTCTGTCTCTAAGTGTAGCCCTGTGATAGACTGGTGACCTGTCCAGGGTGTCCCCTGCCTTCACCCTGAGTCAGCTGGGATAGGCTCTAGCCTCCCCGCGACTCTAATGAGGATGGAGCAGTGTATAGATAATGGATGGATGTATCACATGAAGTCCTGGGGTTAGATTCACAACAGATAATAGACCTCTTTCATGACAGACATTCTGACTTGTCACAGGAGAGAAAGCACAAATTACTGATGGCTAAGTTCCATTACGTGTCCCAGTATGTCATGACTGCAGCTGTCATTGATACACCTGTACTTTCCTCACTGTGACAAGTCAAAATGTCTACTGAGAAAAAGGCCGAAGCATGGATTGAGTGATAAAAGACAAACAATCTGAAAGGCTTGGACATGCTTGAAACCCTGCCCCAAAAAACTAGTTTGTACAAGTCATTGTTTGACTGCGTTTGAATACAAATACTAATATCTACTCTGAATGGCCACAGTTGAAGAAAAGTTGAAGGCAAGTTGAAAAGCCTGCTGCCAGGGATGGGGGGCAAGACACAATGCATCACACAAATGGGGTTGAGGCCACACACTTGCAGACAGTCTTCCCTCGAAAGCATACATGTTGTACTCATGTATGAAAAATAATTGAAGCTGTGTGAAGACTGAGAGAGTTCAAGTTCTTATTACTCTTTCACCTCTGTACACACCTACAATTGCTGCATGAAGTGCGTGTCAGATTGTCACGTTTGCAAAGTTAAAAAAATTATTGGACAAAGCTGGAGAGGTGTGGGGGAAGGGCCTTCAGATGCTTTTCAACCATCTAACATTCACTTCAGCTGAAGCATACTGATCCTGAAAGCACCACAAATGACCCCTAGGGCTTTCACTGGTCATTTCCCCTGTCATACTAAAGTACTTTTATCAGGGTCTTAATATCTAATTATGTTTTCCCACATCCACACAGCTGGGTATGTTTGGGTGGTATAAATTCGATCGATAGTTATGTGCACACTGCACGTGTTTACTTCACATAATGTGATATTAGGTTCTTCACTAGTGGCAGGGCTAAACATGTGAAGTTTGGCCTTATGTTGGCACCAAAATGTGCAAATAAAATAAAAAAGGTTCATCCACTAAGTAACAAAATATCAGAAATCCTCCCATTACATGCAGCGTTAAAATTCTTGCCTGTAGGTGGCGTAAGAGAAAAGGTTAATGTCAAAGGTCAGGTTGAGAAACAAATACTGGGAAAATGAAAATGTTTGACTGCCTTTCACCAAAATATACAATTACAGCTTGATAAGTGTGCGTGTAGAGAGAGCCATGCCCCTAATCCTTCGAGTGATGCCCTAGTTAGTTGTGCGATCGCTGTTGTTATTGTCTGTTTATCTGTGTGTAATTCACTAATGGCTTATTCATCCATGAACCTCCAGTAGTACCCTGAACTCTTTAAACCTCACCGTGTGTGAGAAAAGGAGAGTGTGTGTTTAATGTCTATTCTTGTCTCCAAACGGCAGTAAATTTGTCTGATACACGTTTGTTCTGACTTTTTAAATAGCTCTACTTTTCACACACGGACACACACACACACACACACACACACACACACACACACAGCGCGACTCACACCTTGACAAGGTAATACAGACACACACATATATTGGCTGTCGCACACGACACACACACACCGCACACCGTCCCTCCCTGTGGCGATTACTCTTCAGATCAAGCAGGAGTCAGCAGCTGTCTACTCCTTTCTTCTCACTTACAGCATGCATCAACACACACACACTTGTATTTCCATGCCACACATGTAGCCTGCACATGCTCGGAAACAGACATCTGAGGATGTCAGCAGCTACTCTGTCAAATTTAAACTGTTTCTAAACATGCAGGCTTTTACTGAAAATAGATGAGACTTTTCCTTATCACAGTCTGCAGGTTTTAATCTTCTTTAATCTCCCTCCCTTTTTGTTTCTGTCGTGCATCACGTTTGTAAGATTTACACTTAAGGATGGATTCTGGGTCACAGTATTCATATATTGTTCCTATGTTTGTATTTGGTCTACAATGTTGATTCCATCTTTGTTTTTTTAGATGTTATTAGAGATGCTCTTAAGTTTTTATATTTAAATAATGGCTGCTTTTAAAGCTTAAAATGTTTTTTTCTTTAACCTGTGTATATTCCTACTAATATTTATGTATTTTCCTAAATGATGCCTACAATATTAGTGTGCAGTTTTTGTAGGAAGCAGTGAAGTAGCTGTGTTTGGTATGACTGCGTTGTCGTGACTCTGTTTCTGTGTGACATTGTCACGATGTGACATTGAGAGTCTGAACTAAGTCTGCCGGCTGCTCCTCATTCATTATTAATTAACGCCCTCATTAAAAAACTGTCTGCATGGAGAGAGGAAAAAAAATTTGGGTGTGTCTGCTGTGTACATGTGTGTTAACTAGCGTGCATAAGGTGTTTGTGTGTGTGGAAACTTAGTGTGTGCATGTGCATCTAAGTGTGTGTGTGCGATTGCTGAGGCAGCTGGTCCCAGGGTGTGTGTGAAATGCTGCCTGGTGTGTGACTTTGTGTGTGTGTGTGTCCGTCTCTGCTGTACCTGCTATGACACAGCAGAATTCAAACATGCGCGCACGCACACACACACACACACACACACACACACACACACACACACACACACACACTGTAGACCTGGACTGAAGAGGTCTAAAATAGATGTGTGTTTTCTGCTTGCTGGTCTTTGGAGATGGGATTTTGGATACAGTTGGTGAGGCCACTACAGATGATTTGTCAGACTAAAAACTCATTGTTTCCTGTTGATTTCTCCTTCTGTCCACACAA